TGATCGATCAGTTCTGTTAACTACACTTGCTCAACAGGGTGTGCCTCAGAAGTTTGTAAACATAATCCGATCTCTATATTCACATACTTCTGGGCGGGTGAGGGTGTGTGGTGAGCTCTCCAAAAGCTTTCCTACAAAAAGTGGTGTCAGACAAGGATGCCCACTCTCCCCATTCTTGTTCAACTTCGTCATCGATGAAATAATGAGGCAAACACTGGACGGTTTTCAAAACTCCGGTGTTCAAACTGTTGCTGGCGAGAGCCTTGTCGATCTGGAGTACGCAGATGACATCGCCCTCATCTTTGAAGCGAAGCACAAGCCCTGTTGAACAAACTGACCGCCATCATACCATCATTTGGCATGCGCCTTGCACCTTCGAAGTGCAAAGTCCTGCTTCAGAACGTGCCATCTGCGAACATATCCCTTACAGTTCAAGGAGAACCACTGGAGATTGTGGAAAACTTTACGTACCTCGGTAGTTGTATTAGCTCTGACGGAAGTGTGTCTGATGAAGTCGGTGCAAGAATCTCAAAGGCTCGAATCACGTTTGCTAATTTGCGTCACTTTTGGCGTCAAACAGGCATCTCACTGGATCTTAAGGGTCGTGTGTACCAGGCTACAGTAAGGGCTGTGTTGTTGTATGGGTGCGAGACATGGCCTCTTCGGGTAGATGATGTGAGGCGTCTTCAGGTTTTCGACCACCGATGCCTCAGAAGCGTGGCTGGTTGTGGATGGCGTCAGCGTATCAGCAACGAGGCGATTAGAAAACGGGTATTTGGTTGTGCTGCAGGCACCTCAATCCGGGAAAACATCCAGCATCATCGACTACGATGGCTCGGTCATGTGCTACGCATGCCAAAACATCGTCTACCAAGACGAGTGTTGTTCTCCGTGCCTCCTTAAGGATGGCGCAAACCGCGAGGTGGACAGCACATGACTTGGCAAAAAGGCGTGAAAGAGATCACGAAGAGTTTGGGTGTTGTTGGTGTTGTACGCCTTCCAGGATGGGGTCCCCGTGACCCCATCTGTGCTTGGCTGGAGACGTTGCAAGAAATGGCGGCTAATCGATGTCAGTGGCGTTCGTGCTGTCAGTTTCTCTCCAGATTGTCTGATTGAGCGGTTGGAGGTGTAGGCACCTCAGTATGCTTGACATAGGCCAGCACTAGGTCCCCTCCCTCACCCACTGTTTTTCTCTTCTCTTCACTTTAGGGCTTTTAATACAATTATATATATAACTAGACGAACCTTATGGTTGTACGGCAGTGAAGCATCAGTGCCAACACTGATGTTGCTGTCTTTGATGATGGATGCAATGCAGGCGAAGGAAGTATCATTCCAAGAGCAGGGATAATCATTTGGAAATGAGAAAGTCAATTGCGCTGTTGTTACGTACAGTGATTGAATGCTGTCTTTGATGATGATGATGATGCAGGCGAAGGAAGTATCATTCCAAGAGCAGGGATAATCATTTGGAAATGAGAAAGTCAATTGCGCTGTTGTTACGTATTGTCCAGTGATTGATCTTTGTCATGCAAAATGAACCACTGGGATGGGTTTTGGATACTTCATCCCGAGCGTGTTACACACAGGACACTCATGGGAGTAAACAAGCCAGTGGGACCACAAACCATGACATAGATGTACAATCACTGTGGATGCCAGCAGCACCACAAAGCAGGACTACGTGTGGAGCATTTGAAGGACATGGTCATCTAAGGATATGGATGTGGACCATCTACATCACTAGGCTTTTTTAACATGTTTTTAGCAACCGCTGTCCTACTGTTAATGCGTTACAGATTAACTGGGTCGTTTGACTGTCGTACTTTGGGGTTTAAAGAATGATAAGTATGAGCAGAGCCACTAGAGTACGCGAAGACCCGGAAATTCTCATGTCTGGGACGAAAGTGCACTGTGGATGCTCATATTTGGTTGGTTTATACATCATCCGATTTCTAGATCTCAGTAACTCGCGAAAATGGACTTCGTTCTATCTAGTTAATCGCAGATGTCGGAGAATTCTACTGTGCGTCCTTCAGAGCGGTAAACTGCTTTTGGAGAAAGATGTCCTCAATAGGGTAGTGTTGAAGATTCGTCCTACCCGAAAATTGTCTGGAGAACACAACCACGTTGGAAACATGCTTATTTTTCTGCGGTGCATTGGTATACGGGAAAACCGGAACACCGGTTTCGGTCTTCGCTGGGAGGGAAAGTCATTCCTAGGGAACAGCTAGAGTCATCTTTGTTGGAACGTGTGATTTGGTCTCAGAATTGATCCACTTCAAACTAAATTTCATAGTACCGTAGTCTTATTTTGGTGGGGGGAACGCATAAGCCGCAATTCTATAT